CAGTGGCGGATAGACAGGGACAGATTCTCCAGGCCCTTTAGTCGACGAAGTTTCCATAACGGACGAAGGAAATCTCAAACGAGTCCGGAATCGGATTCTGTAGAAAAAAAAAGTTAGATTATTAATTCGTCGAAGAACGAAAGAGACTTTTGAACATAAATTTAATAAAGCACAAAGTCAATGTATGAATTTCTTAGAAGTCAAATTGATTACTCATTCTATAAAGCAAAAACGGAGGTATAAATTAATCCTGTGCTAAAATTAAGAAGTTTATAAAAAGTGGAGTTGATGAGAGAAAGAGAGAGAGAGAGAGAGAGAGAGATTCGTATATTGAGTGCCGTATATAATTAATAGAAGCGAAAAACATCGGAGTTTCAACTTTCATACATTAGACAGACCTCTCTCTCTCTCTTTCTCTCTCTCCTCCAAACGTCCTTTAATAATTTGTGAGGTAATCACATCGCCGGTCGCTCGATGTAGCTCCATGATTTATCTAGCGCTCTGTATATACGAGAACAGAGAGTGCTGCCAGCTGCCACTCGAGATTCGAGATGTGCATTTCGTCGACAGCTTTCAGCTGTTGATAACAGGTGATGACTTGAACGCAGAATGTTTCGAGTCTTGAATTGATATCACACGCACAACTGATATATTATTTTTTATCCTCTCTGTACGTTCTGCAAAAAATAGACATATATTCATTGGGAACAATAGACATCAATCACGTTTGTACAACCGAAATAAAAATTTATCGAGTCGAGCAGATCGTGTCTTTTATCGCAGCCAAAAGAATCCGATGGTTCTCGCCAAACGTGGACTTAGGTAACAGGAAGAGAGAACTTGAATTTCCTCTTTTCCAAATCTTTCTTCGACTTCTGAACAAATAGAAAATCAGTTTGTTGACACGCGAAATATCCAGAAGACACGATGGGAAAGCCATCCACCCGGAAGCGAGCGAGACCGGTCTGGCGAGAGTGGCGAGTGGCGCTGGCCAGGCGGGCCAGGCTGGCCTCACAGCTGATGCGCGGTGACGTCACTACAACAAAGCCATGCGCGCTCGGCACTCGGCTGACTCGGCGGCGGCGCGCGAGCGAGCGGAGCGAGTCGCGGAGTCGCAGGCAGCGGACCGAGCGAGCGCCGAGCGGACGCACATCACACATTCGGCGTCCGCTGACACGGCGAGGTGCGCCCTGCGCCGTCTCGGTGTTAGCGAGTGTCGCTCCAGTCCGTCGTCGTTATCGTCGTCGTCGTCGTTGGCCAGTGTCGTCCTCGCCTGCCAGGCCCCCAGGATGCCGTTCATATCCAAGGACTGGCGCAGCCCAGGCGAGGAATGGGTGAAGACAGTCGAGGGATGGGAGAAGAAGAAGATCCTCGAATGCGCCAACAACAAAACCCTCTCGCTTCTCCTACGGTACGTCATTATTGTCCCTCGCTCCAACGCTCTCTTTCTCCGCTCGTCTGTATCAGTCTCTCACACTCTCTCTCACACTCTTCCCCGTCGCCTTCGTTCTTTGTCCGTTTCGCGACTCCGCGCGGCGCACAGCTGTTACTTACGTTTACATCGATTCGACTGACAGCTCCGTTTGTTTACATGCGAGCGCGAGCATTATCGCGCGCGGGCTACTCGCAGATTCCATTCGTTTCGCGAAATCGCCAAGTGCACCCGAGTATATAGTCTTATCCTTGTTTTATGTCCAATGAACGATGAAGATTGAGTGAAATATATTAGGGCACTCTAATAAAATTCCCGAACTCAGCCTATTCTTTCAGCCAGATCTATTCTTTGCAGTTGAATTAATGTACGTAACATTCGTTGAATTTAAAATGTAGGGGGGGGGGGGGGTATTTGAGAGAAGTTTGAGGAAAATGATAGAAAGTTTAATGCAGCGACAAAGAACCAGTTACGATTACTCATGATCTCTAATATCGAGAATCGAATCTTTCGTTGTGGTTGCTACATGTTGGCGTTTTGACTTCTTTCTCGTTTGGCAGCGCGTCATGGTTTTTCATGACGAAACCTGTAATAGCAGTATAATTAATCCCACGCAACACGAACGTCTAAATCAAGCAAGATGAGAACGTTAGTGTTACTTGATTGCTACCCGAGTTTCAACGTTAATAACGTTCACCAGCTCGTGCTACAATTTACGATGATCTGCAGGCAGACGAACAGTGTCCTTGCGCGAGTCGATTGCTGATCCTGCGGCGCGACCTGCGGGTGATGCCATGTTATCCGGCTAGCTCATGCGAGTCGTGATACAGATGATTTTCAAGTTTGCATGCAGAGTAGCGCATAACATTATTCAAATTGATCTGCAATACGTGATAATATGTAACGCGAAGTTACTATGTTTGTTTCTGTTGGCTCTTTTATTTTTCATAGAGGTAGCCACCAAGGATACATGGTTACTCCAAAAATGCGAATCGAGTCGAGATTCTCTTATTCACTTTGCATCAATTATTTCGAGCCGAATGCTGAAATATCAATATTATAGAATAATACTGAAATAAATACCTGAATATAAAATCGCTATTTTTTTGGGAGAATGGCAGGAAAATGCGCAGTGAAGATAGTGAAAAGGACGACCTATTGTATCGTCCAATCACTTTTCATTGTGTTATCTCATCGTTCTTCGAGTTGACATGATTGAGGCTCGAATTGATCGCCGATGCTCCGCGCTGCGGCTTGTGGGTGATGCCATTTCTCGTCGTATTTTTCGTCGACACAAAAGTAACTTTATCTGTCTGAACGTTACAAACGTATTTCTAAAATAAAAAACGAGATTTGTAATATTCGAACTTATAGGCTTAAACTGTTTTCATCTGTGTTTTACCCTCGAATTAAAATTCGACTTAATTCGAAGGTAAAATCCAAGTAATCTCCCATTAACGACATTAATTATGTATCTGACATTTTCTCAATTTGCAATAGAAAATAAATCTGAAAACTTGTTTCTCTCTTTAATAGCACTGATCGGAAATAAAAAAAATTATTTCGCAGTTACCTCGACGTTGTATCACAAGAATCAAGTAACAATTAAAGCTCGCTCGTATCGAAACCGATTCACGTGCGTCTAGATTTTTATCTACGCGATCAACCTGAACGTTTTGCACTGGGATATAGATCGAAAATCGCGAGAATGGTATCAGGCCGTTGTGTTTTATAAAAGTGAATCTACTATTTCCTTTTATACACGCGACAACGTTACATCTCGTGAAAGAGTTCACCCTCATGAGTTTCTTAACATTTAGTTTCCTAAGAATTAATTGGATGTTAGTAAGAGTATTAGCTTTACTAAGTGTGTATCTGTATTGTTTTTCTTCTGAGAAAGAACGTTGATTCCATTTGAAAATATTCAACAATAATGGTAGCCGATATGTTTGAACTACGTCATATTCTTCTAATATCTTGATTTTTAAAGGAAATGTATAATAGAATTTAAATTATTAGAAGTTAGAACGCGTGGATTTTAATTTAGTTCTTTCAGAATTAAATCATCGCAAGTAAACTGAAGAATACTGAAAAAAGAAGTGTTTAATTTTAAGATATTAAAATGTTTTGTTCTTGTCTCTATCTTCAAACACTTAAAGATGTTTTAGTTTTAAACTTTTTCAATAAAATACTATGTTCAAGAAAATACTATGTATTTTAAATCCAAACACATAGTTTTGTTTATTGAAAAAGTTTAAAACTAAAACATCTTTAAGTGTTTGAAGATAGAGACAAGAACAAAACATTTTAATATCTTAAAATTAAACACTTCTTTTTTCAGT